AAATTCAAGACAGAATTATAAAAACTAATATGTATGGAACTAAGATTTTACAATTTTATAAAATTTAGGATGGTGAGAGAGAGCTTAAATCATGTTTTTTACCTTAATGGGATTAGGATGATCTAATGGCGTATAATTATTAAAGCTCTTTGTAAAGTATTCTACAAAGTTAAGATTTTCTATATGTGGTTCTAAATATTTATAGCTGCGAGGTTCAACATTTATTTTTGTATTTTAATTTATTTTTAAGACAGAGTCTCACTTTGTGCCAGGCTTAGGTGATGCCTGTGGGCGCAGCCTACTCACGGCAACTCAAACTCCTGCGCGTAAAAGCTCGATCGGCTGCCGCCTCAAGCCCCTGAGCTAGGCTGGACTACAGGCATGCGCGCACTAATGCGCTATTTTTTCTCATATATAGTGTCTTGGCCTAATTAATTTCTTTACATTATATAGACACGGATCTCGCTCCTGATCAGAGCTGGTTGTCGAACTTCTTGACCTCAACGCATCCGCCGCCCCGGCTCCTAGGGTGCTAGGATTACAGGCGTGAGACCAACCACGCCCGGCCTACATTATTTAATATTAACATTATAACTATATGACATATTCAGGCATTTTAATGGCTAAGAACAAAGTGAGCCATAAACGCGAATTGGTTCTTGGTTCTTGGAGAGTGTCTCTTCGTAACGCTCTTAACACTTAAACTGACAATCACCAAGATGGACTGCGTGTTAAAAAATACACACTCCTGGGCCAGCTGTGGTGGCCTCATGCATGGCACTCGCAGCACTTTTAGGGAGCTGAGCGGAGGAAGACTGCTTGAGACCAGGCCTTGAGCACCACCAGCAAGACACTGTTCTACAAAAATTGTTAAAAATTCGCTGGGCATTGGTGCCATCACTGTGAGTCCCAGCTTACCTAGGAGCTGAGGTGCCAGGTGAGTCGTAAGACATGCCACGTGTCCAGGCGGCCCCCGATGACCGCCTGTCTGGCACTCGACGCTAGAAAAAAAAAAAAAGGACCTCAGGCTGAAACTGTTACCACTTCCAATCTCCCTCAGCCTCTTGAGTAGGCTGCATGGGGTCACGTAACAACCATGGCCTAGCATAATTTTTTATAATTTTCTAGGAACACGTCTGCTATTTTGCACAGGTAGAGTCCTGAACTCTAGCTCAAGCAGTGCCCGGCCTCCAACCTTGGCCTTCACAATCTGGGATTCAGGCAAAACCACCACGTCCACTAAATATGTTTTACAAGTGGAGGCGAGAAACTGGTTGGGAGTGATGACCCAGTAAGTAGCAAAACTACAGACTTTAGATTTAATTCTCTTTCCTGTAATTAAATAAAGCCTAATGAAGAAAAGATTTGGTCTTTATCTTTTTTTTCTAATTAAAGTAAAACTAAACAAGGAAAAGCGGCATTACATACAAATTTAAGAAATAGAAATTAAACTCTTACTGAATACTAAGAAATGTGAAACCAAGTTTTTTACTCAGCTCATCCTGTAGCCCCTGAAATGTCAAGACAGGAGAACCACCAGTTTTATCTCAGACTGTCAGGCATTGTACCCATTCCCTTCAACGTCCTTCTTCACAGATGCCGTGAGAGCAGAGGTAATCAATAATCCCTCTTTTTTGTAGGAATTATCCTAGTAATATCCTTACCAGTTGTCCCTCCATCCCAAATATTCCCTCTTCTCATTTTGATAATGTGGATTACCTGGGACCAAAAGATTAAAACTTAATTTCTTACATAAAAGAAATGAAAGCAGGCAGTGCGCGGTGGTAGCTTCACGCATGTAACTCCAGACTCTGGGAGGCGTGAGGTGGTGATTGCTCGGTCAGGTAAGTTCGAACCAGCCTGAGCAAGAGCGAATCCCTCTCTATCATTAAATACGAAATGAAATTAATTGCCAACTGAGTGTAATACATCAGAAAAATTAGCCCGCACGGTGGTACATGCCTGTAAGCCCCGTACTGGGAGGCTGCAGCAGTGCTGAGCCCAGAGTTTGAGTTGTGGTGAGATAGGCGACCCATGGCACTCACTTAACCTGGGCAACAAAGTGAGCATCTGTCTCAAAAAAAAAAAAAGAAATGAAACAAAGGAAGTACAGAAGAACCCATATTACCTAGAGACCCTGTGATAGGTGGAAGAGAGAATTGTTTCTCTGTTCATTACAATGTGGGTACATACTGACAGATATGAGTCATGCTAAATACAAGATAGCGCTCTTGGGTGTTATTTTTAATGTCCAAGAGGTAATAAAAAAGCCCCTCTAGCTATTCGATAATGTTAAGAATCCTTGTATAAAATTTTGTTTTTTTGTAGGGGTGCTAAGGTTCAAAGAAATAAAAGTCCAAATAACCACTATAAAAAGCATTCCTTTTAAAAATATATATGTATCACGTGACCGTATAGTGGCTCACGCCTACTCGCAGCATCTCCCAGGAGTTTGAGGTTGCTGTGAGCTAGGCTGATGCCACAGCACTCACTCTAGCCTGGGCAACAAAGTGAGACTCTGTCTCAAAAAAAATAAATAAAAATAAAAATAACTCTAATTCATTCCCACAGTTTCACTGATTTCTCTGTGTAGGACTAAGACCCCAAAGTTACTGTATACTTTTTGTTTTAGACATGTCCTACTTACCTAGTTTTCAAACTCCATGCCTGAAGGGCACAGTGAGCCAAACACAAGATTGAATAAAGCACCAAAAAAAGAAAATTCAAGAAGACATTGTAAAAACTAATAATTTATGGAACTAAGATATTAGAATTTTCTAACAATTTAGGATGGTGAGAGAGAGGTTAATCATTTTTTTTTTTTACCTTAACTGGGAATTAGATGATCTAATGGGCACAATATGTAAAAGCTCTTTGTAAAGTATCCTACAAAAGAATAGCTGGAGTTCTACATTTATCAATGTAACATTAAACTATGTGACATATTCAGGCATTTTGCTAGATGCTAAGGATACAAAGTGGAGCCATAAACGAATTGGTTCTTGTTCCTGGGGAGTTGCTCTTCTAACAGTCTTAACACTTAAACTACATCACCCAAGATGCTGCTTGTTACAAATACACATTCCTGGCTGGCTGTGGTGGCTCATGCATGCCACTCGAGCACTTTAGGAGGCTGAGGCAGTAAGTCTGCTTGAGACCAGAAGTTCAAGACCAGCCTGAGCACCACAGCAAGACCCTGTCTCTACAAAAATATTTTAAAAATTAGCTGGGCATGGTGGCGTGCACCTGTAGTCCCAGCTACCTAGGAGGCTGAGGCTGCAGTGAGCTATGATCACGCCATTGTACTCCAGTCTGGGGGACAGAGTAAGACCCTGTCTCAAAAGAAAAAAGTGAACCTCAGCCTGCAACTGTCCACTTCCCAATCTCCTCAGCCTCTTGAGTAGCTACTGTGGTCACATACAACCACGCCTAGCTAATTTTTTTCTATTTTCTAAAGACACCGTCTGGCTATTTTGTCTAGGTTGGTCTTGAACTTCTGGCCTCAAGCAGTCCTACCACAATTCTGGGATTACAGGCAAAAACCACCACATCCACTCCAAATAATTTTTACAAGTGAGGGGGAAAACTGGTGGAGTGATGACCCAGTAAATGGCAAAACTACAGACTGCTTAGATCTTAATTGTCTTCCTGTAAGTAAAAGTTAATCAAGAAAAAGGATTTGAGTCTTTATTCTTTTTTTCTAATTAAAACTAAACAAGGAAAAGCACTACATAACAAATTAAGAAAATAGAATATTTAACTCTTACTGAATATATGAAATGTAAACCCAAGTTTTTACTCGGCCTCCCTGTAGCCCTGAAGTCAAGAACAGGAGAACCACTAGTTTTTATCTCAGACTGTCAGGCATTTACCCCATTCCCTTCTAACTCCTCTTCACAATGCCTGAGAGCAGAGGTAATCAAATACCCTCCTTTTGTAGGATTATCCTGGTAATATCCTTACCAGGTGTCCCTCCTTCCAAATATTCCCTTTTCTCATTTTGATAATATGATCACCCTGGGGACCAAAGGATTAAAACTTTATTTTCTTAACATAAAAGAAATGAAGCAAAGGAAGTTACAAAAGAACCCATATATTACCTAGAGACCTGTGGGTAGGTGGGAAGAGAGAATTGTTTTGCTCTGTTCACTACAATATGGTACATTACTGACAGATAATGAGTCATGCTAAATACAGATAGCTCTCTTGGGGTTATTTTTAGTGTTCAAGAGGTGAATAAAGCAAAGCCTGCATGCACCCTATTCCATAATTTAAGTAATCCACATAAAATATTGTTTTGTTGTGAGGGGGTGATGCCAAGGGTTCAAAAATATAAAGTCCAAATAACACTATAACAAAGCATTTACCTTTTAAAAATAGATATATACACGTGACCGGGTACAGTGGCTCAGCCTGTAATCATAGCACTCTGGGAGGCTGAGGCAGGAGAATCGCTTGAGTTCAGGAGTTCAAGGCCAGCCTGAGCAAGAGCAAAACCCCGTCTCTACAAAAAATAGAAAAATTGCTGGGTGTGCATGTGCTTATAGTCCTAGCTACTTGAGAGGGTAAGGCAGGAGGATCGATTGAGCCCAGAAGTTTGAGGATGCAGTGAGCTGCACTCCAACCAGGGTAACAGAGACTGTCCCCAAACACACACACACGCACACACACACCAAAAACAAATATACACACACATATATGTTTTACAAGCAAGGGACCTCAGCCCAGGAAGACAGGGTTTTGGAGAAAGGTGGAGTTTAGGTGTTAAAAATGAAGCATCTCTGGCAGGCTCAACGCAGGGCTGTGTGTCAGGGTTAACGCCACACTGGGCTGAGAAGCTGACACGGGTGCACAAGCT